AGCAGACGAGTGCACACTGGACATTGTGCCACCAAACTTAGATCGACATTTTGCAATTTTTTTCCTCCACTTTTTTGCAGTAGACATCTTTTTGCGCCCACACCTCGAGAAATCATTTTCATGTTTCCTTCAAGTGTACCTCGTCCAGTACTCTTCAACTTTTGTGATTTTAGAGGCATAGGACTATGTGTGAGGTTAGATGGGGCGAAAAGTGAGTAGTTGTTCGTTTCAATACTTTGTTGGTTTTCGGAGGTCCCCTACAAGCGTGTCAGACAGTTGATTGCGATAATGGCAGTTCTCAAATCCACAATTTATGCGGCACAATTTTGTGGAAAAAGAAAAAATTTCCATCATAAGAATATGGAGTTGTGGCTTTCCTTCTTCTTGGTGACATTTTGCAGCTTCAAATCATTTCATTTTATGTAGTCTGACCTGTAGCATCGAATTTTAGATGCATGGGTAAGCAACGAGATCAGGGCAGTTGAGATGACCCTCTCGACTAGGGCAAGACAGCCGTTGCTTCCAGTTAGCCACGTCATGGCCTTTCTAATTTTGGCACTGAGGCAAAGGAATAAGTTTCAACGCTTAAAGTCCGACCTCTCTTTCATGTTTTACTCCACCGCTTCACTTGGTAGACAAGTGCTACTCCTAGACTGCAGGGTTGTTTTTTGCTGCTTGCTTAATTTACGCCTTGGGTGATGCATATGAGGAGCATAGCATCGTCTCTTTACTCTTGGGCATCTATATTGAATAGATTTCTGCACTCGACTGCGGTTGCGATCACCTCAACGTAATGGAGTTTGGAAATGGAGTGAGCTCGGGTGAGCACAATTTGCCACGTCTGGAGTGAGAGTGGAGCCCAATGAGGTGGGCAATCAGTGGTCGGATAGCAGCTCAGTTGGCTTATTTGACTGGGCTTGAGGAAGTGTTTATTATTGCTTCGTTCACACACGCAGAGACTAAAATGCATGGCTCTCGGGTAGGTGGTCAGCTCCTTTTGATTGCGTGAGCATCAATTTTCCTCATGCCTTTTCCTTCATTTCTGGGGACGGCAGCAGAGCTTGTGTAAATGCATCCTCTTCATTTATTGCGAATGACATAACTACTTCAAACTCATTAATTAGGGGGTTGGGTGATGCTACACATCCTTTTGTTGCAGAATACTACATCAACGCCGAGGTGGACGGAGACCGGCGACGCGGCACTTGTTTCGATGACTATGTGGGAGGCTGTAAATTGCAATAATTTACAGGCTTTGAAAGGTTTTCTGGATGTTGGCGTAAGTTCCCCTCAACTGTGCGTCTAGGAGATAAGCTTGGAGAATGGCGGAAACAAAATGATAGGTTAACTAACCGACGGAGGTCATTTGACAGAGCTAGTCTAATATTGTCATCAACTTTGTCGTGCCGATGACGTCACGGATTCATATACAGTCATTTTTCCATGCTTTTGGGCCTCATCATGTTCCGTAGGCAGTCATCTATTTTTTCACAGGCTGATCCCAATGTGTTTGAGGGCAATTCGACGACCTCGCCTCTCATCGAATCCGCCAAGCATGGATTTGTGAAGTTAGTAAAACTCCTTCTCGACTACGGTGCATGCGCTAGTAAAGTAGATTCGGGAAACAATACAGCACTGCATTGGGCAGTTGTTCGAAATCATAGGCAATGCGTCTCGATTCTAGTGAATTACAGCAGTCTCACAGAAGTCACCAATGCCAATGGCAATACGCCTCTGATGGAGGCTGTTGCTGGATCGAATTTGAAGATGGTGCGATTTCTCCTCGAACACGGTGCTTCATGCGGCTATAAAATGAACCAACACAATAAGTCTGCTCTCACAATTGCCTCCTCCAAGGTGTGTGTGCGTATGGCGTGCTCTTGCTTAGCTTACTTCCCCAAGCATAAAGACGCTTTGACTTTTCGTTGGAAAACTAATAGGGTGATATACGGATGGTGCGCCTATTACTACATAGTTCCAACGCTATGGAGGACCGTAGCAGAGAGTTGTACGCAGCACTTGCCGTTGCCGCAGCTGGAAATTTCGTGCAAGTCGTTCAGAAGTTGCTAGATTATGGAGCATGTGTAAATTTGACTGACGAGACTACTTTGTCACCACTTCATTCCGCTGCCCTTGCAGGCAGCGTGGAGGTCATTGAACTGCTCATCAACTATGGAGCAGACTTGGATGAGTATGATAATAACGGCTACACACCACTCATGGAGGCTGCTAGAAGAGGTCAAGAGGAGGTGATCAAGGTGCTGCTATACGCAGGTGAGTGAGTCTCCTCATGGTCATCCACGTGCACCACGCCCACACCATCCTTCTCTCACCACTCACTCACTCACAGTTGCAAATATGGGTCAAGCCTGTAATGATTTTTCTGGCGTTTCAATGCATGCATTTGTGTGTCTGCTCTTTTGATTGCCCTTGGCAGGTTTGATGGAGGCACCCTTCTCGATACCTTCACCTCATAGTCAATAGCCTATGACACTGTTCTCATGACTCTATCCTTCTAAGATCAGTACGCAACGCATCAACGTTTCCTTTAATAAGCACGGACAGACGATTCCACAGCACAAGTGACGCACCGCATAAGCTCACTTGCTGGCTCATGCTTGGTACGGAACACTAGAATGGTGCTGGTCATCAAGATTTCTTTCTTCCTTTTCTTCCTCTCTCTCCCTTTCTCCCTCCTTCCTTAAGGTGCAAGCGCAAACAAAATTTCAGAAGATGGAAGATACAGAGCTTTTGATCTATTCTCAGGAGTTCGAAACTCCATGGCGGCGAGAATGCTCCTGCTGTCTGAATCGGCTGATGGGCCATCGATGCAAGAGTAAGCCTACGCCTCGAAGACTTGCTCTTCAATTTTTCTTAAGAAGAATCGCGTGCCTCCATGTCTAATAGAGGTGATCCACATTTTCGGGAATTGGCATTAGTAACTACTTCAACCATTACACCCTCCCAGAGAGAAATGCATCACCTC